TGTGTGTGTGTGTGTGTGTGTGTGTGTGTGTGTGTGTGTGTGTGTGTAGGGGGAGGGGTTCTCCACCAGAAAATTTAGAATAAAGTTGATGCCATTTCCTGCATTCTGGTGTATTTTAATGTTTTAATTTATTTATTTTTTTAAACATCTACATTTACCTACATAAGTAAACACTTGTTACGACAGCCATCTTATTTTTTTTTTTTTTTTTTTGGGTGTATGTATGTGAAATCTCTAATTGTGTGAAATTAGTGTCCGAGTCCACGACTGAGTGGAGCAAGATGCAGAGGAGCTGAACAGTGATTGACTGCCCGCCTTGCTGCGTTGGTCATGACTGGGCTTTCCATCCACTCACAGCTGACCTGCTGTCCGTCGTTAATTGTCAGATAAATTAGTTTTCTGAGGAGTTTTCTTTTCTTTTGTGAGACATTTCTCTCCAGTTTTTGTTAGTTTCGTCAAGGTAAGAAACCTGTCTTTTGGTTCATTTTGTTTTGTTTGGGTAAGAGAAAAATAGTTGGAACTATAGTTTGTTTTGTTAGTTATTTTGGCCTGGGCTCACCCTGACGTTTGGTAAGACTCCATCTAGTCAGATATAATTATTCACATTGTAAATTATTCACTTTTTAAGTCAAGTCAGATTTATTTATAAAGCATTTAAAACAGAAACTGTTACCAAAGTGCTTAATGCACATGGAATACAACATAAACCCCATTTTTAACCAAATCCATAGACTCTGTGGCTGCTAGAAGGTTGAAATGCCCATTCTTAACTATAACCTGGCGACTGTGTTTTGTCCAGGTTGTAACAAAACTTGATTCAATAACTGTTTGAGAGAGCTCGGCACAACAAGAAGTAGCGCTAAGCTAGCAGCGCACAATACAGACGCGCTAGCTAAGATGCTACAGACATAGCGCCGTTTTACATTCCACAACCAGATAAACACTTTGTACAAAATCAGTTTAGTGTTAAATGATCATAACAAAACCTAAACTTATGCAACCAGAAGTTACAACATATATCTACATATAAAACGCACCAAAAAAAAAAAAAAAGGCACAACTAGCTTTAAGCATTAACCTTTAATTTAACAGTCAAGCATACAATGTAATTATGACAACAAAATAAAAAATAAAAAAAATGGAGGATTTACATGCAGTTACGTTTGTCCAGATGAACATGTGGTACTTCCTGTTTATCACTGTTGTTACTTCCTGTTTGTCACTGTTGTAGCTGCTCATGAGGTCGCACGCCAACCTTTATCCATCTTTTACATTTTTCCAGAAATGGAATAAACTGTATTCCAAACACTCAGGCTGTCTGAATTACATGTTCCCCACTGACAACATTTAATCATGTTTTTCTGATATTTTTTTACAAAATCCCTCAGACTGCAATGTGTTCATAACGGAAAATCCCAAGAATGTTGTCAGAGAAAAAGGGGGTGGAGCTCCTGAAGGTAAGGGGCGTTTACTTTGGGACAAATTGAGTTTGCTGATTGGTCAGTTGCTGACAAGCCTGCTGGACTGACAGACAGGTGGCATCGAGGATCGACTTGTACTGGCCTGTTTAAGAGTCTCATCGTTTATATTTATTCCAAATTTATTAAATATTTTTGGTGAATCTAAGCTGTGAGAAGTGAGTTTCCTTATAAAGTCATGATGATGGTTTCTTTATTTTTCAGGGATGCCGAGTTAAAATTTAGGAATGCTTGAGCACCCCCAAAAAGAGGCTAAAATCATCACTGGTTTATGCAAAGTTTTTTTTTTTTTACTGAATTATACGTTCACAATGATGACAGCAAAATCCAGGCATTATCATTATTCAACTTATCAAGATTCTCAAAAAAGTACCACTGATAGAACTCTGTTTTTATTTAGTAAAACATTCACCTTAAAAAGTTAATTAACCATTATAAACTTAACCGTGATGTAAGAGATCACCAAAAGTGCGTGGGGTTCAGTCTCATTGTAATCTTGGCTTGAAACAAAAGCTTCAGAAGAAGCAACGTGAAACAAGCGACTGATGGGTAACCAATGTGCTCGTGGATACTTCAGCAGAACCACTTAGGTCTTTACAGGACCTGCTAACAACAAAACATGCAAAACGCAGCAAGCGAATTTGATTCATGTTCCCTTAAATGTGCTTTTAGTTGTGGAGAAGAGGAAGAACTAAAACTGCAGCCTCCCACCAGGATGTAGGCAGGAGTTCCCCCAGTTTGCTTATTTATGCCAAATATAAAGTATACCCATTAGCCTGGATTACTACATTTACTGCCTGCCAGCATGTTTGCTACTTGAACATCTTAGTATTTTTAAGGTGGTACTCATTTTAAGAGTTTAAGTCTTTAAATGTTATCATTAAGAATACTAAAGACAAACATTTATATTCATTATTAAACCTAGTTAGGGTGTGGATAAAGTTGAGGGGAGTGGTGGCACAGAGGCTAGAGAAGGTGGGCCTGTGATCGGATGGTCGCCCCAGACTGACATCAAAATGTGGGTGGGAAGGTAAAACACCCACACCTGTTTCCACCCTCATTTGCCCCACCCATTCTGAGCTCTTGAGCAAGGCCCTTAACCCCCACTCTCTGCTCCACACAGGAAGGGGCAACCGGTGTAAAAACAATCATCAAGTCTTTGTGCGAGTTAGTTCTCTGTGGCAACCCCTGAAGAAGGGAGCAGATAAAAATAAGAGGCATGAACGTTAATGAAAAGTTATTGAGTTTAAAATAAATAGCTTGTTCTTTTATAATAATCTGTCTAGCTTAACCAGCTGATCAACCAACCCATTGATGATCAATGTTTCAAAAACACTGACACTGATTTAGTTTAACAAACAGCAAAAGTGGTATTTTATGCTTCTGCCCTCTAGCGGTCATATTTAGGAATTACAGTACATGAAAGCAGCAGTCTAGACCAAAAAAAAAAAAAAAAAACCTTAGAAGAGAGAAAAAAAAAAAAAAAAAACCTAAGCAAGATGTTTTAATACAGTAACAGTATTTAAAAAAAAAAGCTTACTAACTTTATTTAATCACAATTATGAGACAAAGGGATGTATTTTTATACTTCAACCACCGTTTTATTTACAAACCGGATTCCATAAAAGTTGGGACACTAAACAAATTGTAAATAAAAACTGAATGCAATGATGTGGAGGTGCCAACATCTAATATTTTATTCAGAATAGAACACAAATCACAGATCAAAAGTTTAAACTGAGAGAATGTATCATTTTAAGGGAAAAATCTGTTGTTTCCAAATTTCATGGCGTCAACAAATCCCCAAAAAGTTGGGACAAGTCCATTTTTACCACTGTGTGGCATCCTCCCTTCTTCTTCCAACACTCAACAGACGTCTGGGGACAGAGGAGACCAGTTTCTCAAGTTTAAAAATAGGAATGCTCTCTCATTCATGTCTGATACAGGCCTCTAACTGTTCAATCGTCTTGGGCCTTCTTTGTCGCACCTTCCTCTTTATGATGCGCCAAATGTTCTCTATAGGTGAAAGATCTGGACTGCAGTCTGGCCATTTCAGTACCTGGATCCTTCTCCTACGTAGCCATGATGTTGTGATTGCTGCAGAATGTGGTCTGGCATTATCGTGTTGAAAAATGCAGGGTCTTCCCTGAAAGAGATGACGTCTAGATGGGAGCGTATGTTGTTCTAGAACCTGAACATAGTTCTCTGCATTAATGGTGCCTTTCCAGACATGCAAGCTGCCCATGCCACAAGCGCTCATGCAACCCCATACCATCAGTGATGCAGGCTTCTGAACGGAGCGTTGATAACAACTTGGGCTATCCTTGTCCTCTCTGGTCCGGATGACATGGCGTCCCAGTGTTCCATAAAGAACTTCAAATCGTGACTCATCTGACCACAGAACAGTCTTCCATTTTGCCACACTCCATTCTAAATGAGCCCTGGCCCAGTGCAAATGTCTGAGCTTGTGGAGCTTGCTTAGAAATGGCTTCCTCTTTGCACTGTAGAGTTTCAGCTGGCAACAGCGGATGGCACGGTGGATCGTGTTCACTAATAATGCTTTCTGGAAGTATTCCTGAGCCCATTCTGTTATTTCCTTGACAGTGGCATTCCTGTTTGAGGTGCAGTGACGTTTAAGGGCCCGGAGATCACGAGTATCCAGTAGAGTTTTACGGCCTTGACCCTTACGCACAGTGATTGTTCCAGATTCTCTGAATCTTTTGATGATGTTATGCACGGTTGATGATGATAACTTAAAAGTCTTTGCTATTTTACGCTGGGTAACACCATTCTGGTATTGCTGCACTATCTTTCTGCGCAACAATGGTGGAATTGGTGATCCTCTTACCATCTTGGCTTCTGAGAGACACTGACACTCTGAGAAGCTCTTTTTATACCCAATCATGTTGTCAATTGACATAACTAGTGTTAATTGGTCTTCCAGCTGTTCGTTATATGCTCAATTTCCTTTTTCCAGCCACTTATTGCTACTTGTCTCAACTTTTTGGGGATTTGTTGACACTGTGAAATTTTGAATCAACATATTTTTCCTTTAAAATGTTACATTTACTCAGATTAAACTTGTGATCTGTCATCTATGTTATATTACAAATAAAATATTGACAGCATTTGTGTTGCTACTGTTGAACACAATTTGTGACAAAATCTCCAGATGTGTCACAACATTCACATGGGGGGGGGGGTGTCCTCGGTTCTGCTCAGAGCCACAAATGCTTGCAGTTTTGTCCCTTGAATTTCAAACATGTTCAACAATTTGTGCAACAGATTTCCTCTAAAAATAGTGAGAATCATTGGGTCTACAACTGGTCTCGAAAGCACAAAAGCTGCATGTTGACACCTGGATGGGAGCTATCCTCCAACAGAAGATAATGTGCAGGTCTGAAAACACCTTCAATTGGAATAATCGTTTTAAAAAAACAGGTCCAAATCTGCCAATCTTTATTTCAGAACACCAGTGCATTACATCAAAAACTGTGTGGACAGCTGTCAAGGTACTGTAGGTGGAAAGTGGGCTGAAGTAGATACGTGGGAAATTAAATGCGTTCCACAGCCCAAACACTGGCTTCATGAGCCGTGCTAACAAAAATTAGGCACAAAACAGAACCGCAGCGTTCTCGATTTGCAAACACCCAGAACTCTGTGAAACTGCAACAGAACATTTACCTGTTTTCTCACAATATTGAGTCAAGTTAAAGTGTCCAACAGTCCCAGCCCAGCGAGACGCCATCTTCAGGGTAACCGTGCTTCGAGTCAATCAGCACAACGCACATGAAAAAATGAAATGCACAATCACACAAGTAAAATTACCACAAAGTATATACTTTATTTCAGGCCAATTTCAAAGTATCATATGAAGAAATGTATATTGTAACAGATTTTTTTTTTTTTTGGTTCTAAAAACACATGCACGTATCTATCAAAAATGAACAGTCATTGTTGAGTATAAAGTCATTTCATGTGCATTTAGAAATCTCTAAATACAAAATCCTTTAACTTGTGATTAGTTCTACTGCTACGACGAGTCGACAGCCAACGCTCTGACAATTTACACACGAAGGATACAAATCTGATTTGTGACAAAAATGGCATTAAAAACAACTCTAGCCGTGCAACGCGAGCACTGTGGTGTACCAATTATTTGAGTCGTCGTTCTCACCAACACTGTTCATCCAACTTTTTAAACCCAATGACTGTGATTCTCAACTGGTGGTTCATGGGCCTTTACCTAGACCAGGGCTATTCAACTAAATTGCTTAGGGGGTCACAGTTACTGAAAGCCAAGAGCTCAGGGGCCAAACATCCAGCAGTTAATGTCATCAAGTTTGTTTTGTGGTTTAAAATCTAGTTTTATTTAAAATGAATGGGCCAAACTGAGCTCACCTGTGGGCCTGATTTGGCCCCAGGGCCACCAGTTGAATAGCCCTGACCTAGACAGAGAAAAGAAAATCAATGGAAAATGCTGGAATAACTGAACTTTTTATTAAATATTTGTTATATTCGATGGTTTGATTAAATCTACATATTTTGCATTGTGTCAAAATGACTTGGTACTACACTTTAATTCATGCTAGTATGTGAAAACACTGAATTCACTAAAAAGTTATTTTGGTAGTTTAGTCCAGAACTAAAATGCAGCTCAGTGCATTGCCACTTACTGGTTGTTGAACTTTTTGTGTTAGCAACTGGGATTTTCTCTTCTGCCACCCCAGTTCGAACTGCGCCGCCTTCTTATTGCATAAATTTAAGAAGCTGAAAATGTTCAATTTGGGGAGAAGGTGGGCCATGAAACCAAACCAATGGAGAACCACTGCATGAAGACATGGTTTTGTGATCAGTAAAAATCTGTACTAAACACAGAGAATAAAAACAAAAAGTTCATGTTTTCTAAATCTAAGATAAATGCATGGAGTTCCATCAAGTTAATGCTACCAGTTTACTCGACTGACAACAAAATCTGTGACGTCCTGCAAGGCCTCAGACCGAGAGCACGGCACAGCAGGCTGATTATTCAAAGGTTACTGCAAAGATGGAGTCATTTTGTAAACATCAGAACATGATTAGGAGAAGGTTGTCAGTGTATTGTCTGCAGGAGTTGCTTAAAAGTATGTAAACATGCGAGTGCTGTTCCAAGGACCACCTGCTTCTCTGTTCTGAAAGCTCATCTTAAAAACATCTCAGGGTTAGTCACACAAACCACCATAAAAAAAAAAAAAAAAAAAATAGAACTAGTCAGGTGTTCAAAAATTAAAACGTACGTAAATCATCTCATTAGCTTATACAGTCAGTTCATACGGAGACAGCCTTACAAATCACAGGCTCCACTTTGAAGATGGAAGCAAAACATTTTGGAATTTGTCACAATTTCTGACTGAAATATGATTGTTTTTCCGATTTATTCCATTAAAAACGAGCGGTTTAACTCACAACCATCAGCCAAACCCTGACCCTCTACTCAGGGTTTCCAAACACTGGTCCTTGAAGAACACCATCCTGCACATTTTGGTTGCTTCTCTGCTCCAGCACACCTGATTCAGTGATTTAATTACTTCATATTCTGCAGAAGCCTGTTAATCACCCATTAATTAAAACCAGGTGTCAGAGCGGAGAAACAACTAAAACATGCAGGATGGTGTTCCTCAAGGACCGGTGTATGGAACCCCTGCGTTACCCTTAACGTGACTCAAAAACCTGCTTAAACTTTTCCAAGCTATAGTCTAAAAACATTTTTTTTTCTCCTCTCTTAAAAAACACTCGGCACAGCATCACACAGGGATTTCAGCTCCCTCTAAAGGAAGACAAGTTTCAAACATTGTAGTTTGTCTATAACGTCACATGCTGAAACTGATCTGAGCTTTAGTGTCTGCCTGTTTTTTTTTTTTTTGGTTAATGTTTAGCAGAGATAGTAAAAGCTGCTTGTGATAAAAAAAAATACAATAACACTAATAAGTATATAGTAAAGCAACAATAAGAAAAATCAGTAAAAGGTTTATATTTATAAAAAACAAATGACGCCAGAACGAACAGCATGTGCTGTGAATCTTGAAGCAATATGCTGTGATGCTAGTTGACCTCGTTAGAAAGATTTCAATTCATCGATTAAAAAAAAATAATAAAATGAGTCATTTGATCTAATCTATCACGTGTAACTAGCTAAACGTGTAACAAGCTAAAAATAAAACACTACAAAGATATAACAAGTGAAGTGTGGGTTAGGCCCTGATAAGAATGAGATACAAAAAAAAAAAAAAAAAAAAGCTATCGGTTAAAATAAAAAATAAAATAAAAAAATCCCCAAATCACCTTATGTTTAAAAAAAATACAATACAGTTTCAATTACTGAACATTAGAAGAACATGTGGCTTATATTTATTAACACAGCCCGACACTGACTGTTGCTGTATAGAAACTGGGTAGTTGTTCGTGGTGCTCGCGTAAAAAAAAACAAAAAAAAAAAACATCTGAAGGCACTTGATCTATCAAAGGTTTAACTTAGACTAGCTGGCACAGCCAAGCAGCAATGTGGTCAACCCCCAGGTTCTAACCCCACCCCCACCCCTCCCAAAGCAAAGCCGACTTCTCCAAATTGGGCCTCGCGTTACCTTCACTCCAAATCAGTATTGTTCGTTACGCTCCAAATACATCATTTTTGGTTATTCAGGCTTGTTTTAAAGAAAGTTGAAGCCAAATATAAAGCTAGTCAACTAAATGCAATAAACACAGTTCTGTAGTGCTGCTTCATGCTATACAGAAAGGCTCCGAAGATTCTGGGTGACAAGCAGTAATGGTAATCCTTGCAGAGGAGTACATGCACCTGCCCAGTTCAGCTATGCGCTGGGTAAAGAAGCCCTAGATCCACTGACGAGACCTGTGAACGATTTAGGGGCCCTTGCGTAATTGTCTGTTCATAGGCCAGCCTTGAAGTCACAGACAAAATTAAGAGACAAAAAAAAAAAAAAACACCAGAGAAAAGAGTAGAACAATACTGCCTGAAAAGAGGTTAGCCTTACACGCTGAGAGGCACAGAAGTTCAGAGCGGCTCGCTGAAATGTCTTGTAAAAAGCAAATCCTTCACAGATGAGAGCAGGCAGAAGTTCAGAGCGTAGGAACGGGAGTTCAGAGCGAAGAGCGCGCCTCGCCCCTGTCCTCTATAACCACGTGAGGAAGCTCTCCTTGTCGATCTTGGTAGCCGCGAGCACAGACTCCATGTCGCTGAGGATGTCGGAGCTCAGGGGCTCTTGCAGACTGGGCATCAGCTCCTCGCCCTCCACCGCCATGCTCTCGCCTTCCAGGGTGCCCAGATCCACGTCCGTTCCTGGGATGGCGTCCAGGTAGTCAGGGAAACGACTGGGCTGCGTTGCCATGGAGGGTGGAAGTTGGTCCCCTAGTGACCAGAAGAAAATTGACATTTATTGACTGTGGTGACAAACATCTGCTTCAGTACAGGCCTCTTGAAAACTAACCCTAGTCTCCGGAAAGTTGTAAAATTCAACATATTTTTTTCTCCCAATCATTTGAAGTTTTCACGTCCAGTGTGGGTGTCAGGCCCGAGTTTAAGAGGAGCATACACCTAAGGTTTGGTCCATTGATGTCCAATCCAGATCGTTGAGGGTTCCTCTCCTGCATGTTTTACATGTTTCTCTGCTTTAATGCACATACGCCTAAAACATCCTTTATGTAGAACTGCAAAAAACTTGGCCAAACGAGGTAGAACTACCGTAGAAAAAGTATGCTCTCTCAATTACTGCGTCCAAAAATGAAACCTGGATCCAGTTGGTAACTCACCTGTATCCATTTCATCCACGCTGTTCAGGAAGTCGTCTGGAGTGCGAGGAACACTGTAGCTGCTCATACTCAGTCCACTGTCTGTGCTCTCGTCTCTGGAGTGGTAGGTCCCGCTGGAAAGAAGAATTCAAAAGAAGAGGAAGAAATGCAGATTATAAACGGTCTACAACAATTTAAACCAAACTACAACTTATGTGGACGTTTTTGCCAGAATTTATTGATCTTCATTTTACTATTCTCTCAAACAGCACTAAAAGAAATAATAATAATTAAAAAAAAAGATTATTTAAATAATATTATTATTGTTTAAAGCACAAATGTTGTACAGCAAACAGTTACAATAATCACAGAGACCACTACACAAATGTATTTACAGTAGCTGTGTGAATCCTGAGTCTGGACTTTTTATTAGGCTATTGGTTTGTTTTTTTCTGTATTTATTTAGAACTCTCACCCATTCCTCATATTTTGTTCCATTTTAGTATTTCATATATGAACATGTTCAGTTCAGTCAGAAGATGAGTGCTCTTGTTCTTTGTAAACTTTTCAAAATGTTTTACTTCTTACTGTATCCGTTCCCATAAAAATACACAAAATAACTTATCAAATCCTGTAAAAACATTGTTCTCTTTCAAATCTTCAATGTAGACACGTTTGTATATTTTATAGCAAAAAGAACAAGTTTTTCTTCTTGTACTACTTATGCTCATATTTAAATAATTGAAGTGTTTATCTAGGGGGGATTTTTAAGCTTGTAACAACTTTTTGCTACTTTTAGCTAGCACTGGGCCAGCCTTATCTAACACTGGGCCACTCTTAGCTAGCACTCCGCCACTCTTCTTGGCTAGCACTCCGCCACTCTTGGCTAGCACTCCGCCACTCTTCTTGGCTAGCACTCCGCCACTCTTCTTGGCTAGCACTCCTCCACTCTTCTTGACTAGCACTCCTCCACTCTTCTTGGCTAGCACTCCGCCACTCTTTTTGGCTAGCACCCCGCCACTCTTCTTGGCTAGCACTCCGCCACTCTTCTTGGCTAGCACTCCGCCACTC